AAGATGCTAAGCAAAGAGAACAGTAAGTGCAAAGGTCATGACGTAGAAAGTGTATCTGGCATGTTTAAGGAAGAGCAAGGAGATCAGTGTGGCTAAAGTGAGGGAACCAGTGGTAGGAAATGATTCTGAAGAGGGGGCCAGACCACGTGGGACTTTGTAGAACATGGCACTGACTTTGGAGCTTACTCCAAGTGGGACTAAAAGCCACTCAGAGTTCTAAGCAGAGAAATTACATTATAAGATTTACATTAAAAAGATCACACTAGAGGATCTGCGGTCAAGATGGGAGGCATGGACAGACACACTTCGCCTCCTTGCACAACCATTAGAAGGATTACAACTAACCTCAAAACAAAACACACACCCAGAACTTCCAGAAAATCAAACTGTATGGAAGTCCAACAACCAAGGATTTAAAGAAGACATTCATCCAGACGGGTAGGAGGGGCAGAGAGGACATGGTGTGGCAGCATCGCAAGGAGGTGGGGACCAGGCAGCAGTGGCTGTGGCCGGCAGCTGTAAAAACCAGTGGGAGTTGGGGAGGCAGAAGAAACTGCTGTTCTCTCAGGAGAGTCCATTTAAAGGGCCTACAGGCTCCTAGAACACATGCAAATCCACCCACTCTGGGAATCACCAGCAGGGCAACAGCTAGAGGGGTGCTAGTCGCATAAGTGACTGGGAAGTGGGACAAGTGCCGAACAAACCTCCAGCAGTCAGGCAGTGGCACTGTCCTCTCTCTGAGCCCTACCCCACACACAAAGCCACTAAGCTGTGAAGCAGGCTGCACTGCCTTGGCGACTACCTAAGGCTCTGCCCCATACAACGTAACAGGTGCCAAGGCAGGGAGTCAAAGCAGCTCTACCTAATACACAAAAGAAAACACAGGGAGGCTGCCAAATTGAGGAGACAAAGAAATATGGCTCAAATGAAAGAACAAAACAAAACCCCAGTAAAAGAACTAAGTGAAATGGAAATAGCCAACCTATCAGATACAGAATTTAAAACACTGGTGATAAGGATACTCAGAGAACTCACTGAGTACCACAAAAGCGTAAGGGAAGAAATGAAGGCTATGCTAAGTGAGATAAAGAAAAACCCACAGGGAACCAAAAGTGAAGGAAGGGAAGGGAGCCAGGGTTCAAATCAATGAACTGGAATATAAGGAAGAAATAAACAGTCAACGAGAACAGAATGAAGAAACAAGAATTCAAAAAAACGAGGAAAGAATAAGAAGACTCTGGGACATCTCCAAACGTGCCAACAGTTGAATCATAAGGATGCCAGAAGGAGAAGAGGAAGAGCAAGAAACTAAAACCTTATTTGAAAAAAAACAATGAAAGAAAAATTCCCTAATTTGGCAAAGGAAATAGACATACAAGTCCAGGAAGCACAGAGAGTCCCAAACAAGTTGTATCCAAAGAGGACCATACCAAGACACATCATAATTAAAAGGACAAAGGTTAAAGATAAAGAGAGGCTCTTAAAAACAAGGGAAAATAAGTTACTTACCTACAGGGGAGCTCCTATAAGACTGTCAGCTGATTCCTCAAAAGAAACCTTGCAGGCAAGAAGGGACTGGCAAGAAGTATTCAAAGTGATGAAAAGCAAGGACCTACAACCTAGATTACTCTGTCCAGCAAAGCTATCATTTAGAACGGAAGGGCAGGTAAGTGCTTCCCAGATAATGTAAAGTTAAAGGAGTTCATCATCACCAAGCCCTTTTTATATGAAATGTTAAATGGACTTATTTAAGAAAAAGAAGAAGATTAAAATGACAACAAACTCACAATTATCAACAACTGAATCTAAAAAACAAACTAAGCAAACAACCAAAACAGGGACAGAACCATAGGTATGGAGATCACCTGGAGGGTTATCAGCTGGGAGAGGGAAGGAGAGCGAGGGGGAAAGGTACAGGGATTAAGAAGCACAACTGGTAGGTACAAAATAGACAGGGAGATGTTAAGAACAGTATAGGAAATGGAGAAGCCAAAAAACTTACATGCAGGACCCTTGGACATGAACAAGGAGGGAGGGATTGCTGGAGGGAAGGTGGGTATCAGGCAGAGGGGGGCAAAAGGGGAATAATTGGGACAACTGTAATAGCATAATCAATAAAACATACTTTAAAAAAAATCACACTAATGCAATACACTATTAAGTATACCAGGGGTCTGCAAACTTCTGCAAATGTCCAAACAGTAAAATATTTTAGGTTTTGCCAGCTACATGGTCTCTAGCACAACTACTCAACTCTGCCACAGTAGAGAAGTAAAGTAAACAGAGCCAAAAGGCAGTAATAGGACATGTAGATAGTGTGGAACATTCTACAAGACAACTAACCTGGCTAATTAAAAAAAAAAAAAAATCAATGTCACAGGGCAGGGGGTAGACAAAGGGCTGATCTAGGTTGAAACGGGCCAAACAGACACCATGTACCTTGATTAAATGCTAATTTGCAAAACAACATTTTGAGAACAACTGGGGACAATCAAGTATGGCATGGCTATGGGGAGGCTGTCACTAAATACGTATTATAAAGAATCACATCAAATGTGATAATGGCACCATGATTCTATAGGAGAAAGTCCTTATTCTTAGGAGATGCCAGAACCTGACTCAGGGCCCCCCAGTCCTAAGAAAGGGATTCTTCCCCACACTGAAGGGCATGGTATCTTACTAAAATGAAAATCAGAGTGGGTCTCTTGCCTAAGAAAACACTTTGCTGGTTCCACACCGGTCCTATTCCAGGCTTGCACACTGTGTGCCAGCCACTGCTGAATCAAGGGCTTCCTATTTGTCATCTCCCTGAACCTTTTAGAAACCCTGTGACAAACCCCAACTGACTCACTGTCTGCCAAGGCCCGTGGGGATCTCCATCTGGAGTCCAGGCCCTAGCTGAGCTCACCAGCTTCTAGGCTCTCCACTTCTCCCCTTCCAAGACCTCTGGCCTTTGATTCCTTGGTGACACGAAACTTACTATGGTCCCTGGAATGACGAGCTACTTCACCTCCAGGCCTCTACGCATGCTGGTCCCTCTTTCCTATATCTGTTGCCAACTCCTTCCTACCTGTACTTCAAAACTCAGCCCAACATCCAGGTCCTATGCACCTACTGGTCCTAACTGGCTTTTAGTGGCAGTGACACCTCAGCTGGCCTGAGAGGTTAATTCTGTTCCCTTTGGTGAGTTGAGTATATTTTTAACCTTGGGAAAGTATGCAACAATAATTACAATATAGACTGTGGTAACGTGTCTTGTGATTTTTGTTTTGTGTACGCTACCACTAGCCACATGTGGCTATTTAAATTTAAATTAATTAAATAAAATAAAACTATCCCATTCCTCAGTTGCACTAAACCACACTTAAAATGCTCAATAGGCAGTCTCTTGGGCACTGTAAGTACAGAACATTTCTATCATGGCAGAAAATTTTCTTGGATGGCACTGTTTTGGGGTTCTTGAGGAGGTCAGCTGAATTCTTACCCCACAGACAAGCTAAAAGACTATTTCTCAAAGAAAAGGGACAACATGAGGAAAAAAATATTTGCCACTCATTACAAAGAGCTAAGCTTCCTAATATATAAAGAGCTTTCAGAAATAAGTAAAAGACTACCCAATAGAAAAATAGGCAAAGAATATGAACAGACAATTCAGAAAGAGAAATTCACATGGCCCTTGAACATATGAAAGGAACTCAAAGTCACCTACAGAGGAAAGGCTAAGGAAAACCACCCTAACATGCCATTTCCCACTGATCAGATTGGTAAAAATCCAAATGTTTTAAAACACAAAGCTGTGTGGACACTCTTAGACATGGCCTAATAGACACACTTCTCGACTGTGGAAATGGCACAAATACATATTCCCTGTAACCCAGCAAGCCTCCATGCAGTAATTCATCTTACAAACGAATCTGCCTGCACCTATGTCAATGAGACAAACACAGGCACTGCACTGTGGCACTGCTCGTAATGAGCCAAGGCTGGAAACAACCCCAGTCACCATCCATAAAGAACTGCTCTACAAACTTGGGAACATACACATGCAGCTGTTCCAAAAAAAAGAACAACAACACAGCAGCAGCAGCTTGCTATAGATAGAAGCAGAAAGATTCTCCAAGATAAGTAAAAAATCAAGTTTAGAACAGTTTGTGTACAGTGCTACCTTCAGTGTTAAACAAACAAACAAACAAACAAACAAAGGGGAATACGGCATGAAAGGCTCTATCCAAGTGAGTCTATCCCTGCTGGATAAAGCTCTCAGAGGACACAGAAGAGCAGTTAAATTGGGGGGGAGGGGGGGAGCAGAAGTGAGAGGAACGTTTTCACTTAAAAAAAAAAAAAAGCTTTGTTTTTTTGATGCTTTGGTAGTGGGGGGGGGGGCGGTGTGGTGGTGGGTTTTTTGTTTTGTTTTTTTGTCCACATTTTAAAAATTATTTATTTCCTGGAAGTACTTTTAAGTGTGATAGGCTGTAATACAGAACACATGAAAAAGATGTGACTAGATTATAAGAAAAACACCTGTTAGTAAAACGGATCATACTAAAACAGCTGCACACTGCTCCTGGGGCACACAGGGGTATACTGTTTGATTTTTCAACTAGTGAAACTATATCATCTCTTCTGATTATTACACTGATCTTTTTAAAATTAAGTCTCTGGACAACCTGCCTCAAAGTCAGTGGAGATTCTCATTCCCAATGCTCTGTGACCCCCCACAGGTCTCCAGATAATCAGACGCCTGGATGCGGCCCCAAGCTCCATCTTGTTAACAAGCTCTGCCAGTGATTCCAGTGCACCTTCCAGTGCTCAGACCATAGGGCATTGGTAGACTGAGAACCCCTGCTCCTCCCAGCTCCAGCTGGCGAGACCCCCACATCAGAAGGGCTGGGACAAAAAACTGCGAAGTAGGGGCCCAGGGTAATCTGTCCACCTGCACCACTTCCCCTCACTAGGCCTGGCCACTCTCAAAGGGCAGCCACAAAGAGGCTCAGACTTGCCTCTCATCTGGAGAGTCTACATGGAAGGTCCTCTCGATGACTGTGGTCCACTGTAGGCAGCGTATGACAAATGTGTTGGGCCGCGGTCTCTCAGTCTTCATCAGCTGGCATTCTGTAGGCAGAGAAAAAACAGAGATAGGAGGGTAAGGGGAGAGCCCTGCTGACCTGGAGACCACAGTCCCCAAGTCACCTCCTGTGTCCTGGCCCCATACCACATGGCACTGGGGACACTTCAGTGGCATAGTGTAGATAACTCTGGACTTGCCCTCCTGGGGCTCAGGATCCAGTGTGTGTGTGTGTGTGTGTGTGTGTGGATGGGGGACAGACCACTGGACAACGATGGCTCAATGGTAAGGACTGTGATGGGGGGAACCCAGAGGCAGGAGCATCTCTATCCTGAACCCTGAAGGAAGAGGGAATATGGTCAGTCAGATAGAAGAGTGTGTCATATATTGAGCCCAGAGGTGCCAAAGGGCCCAGCACACCTAGGAAATGGCAAGTTCTGCTCTAGGTGTAAGTAGCAGAGAAGTGAGACAGACCGCAGAGGTGGGCAAAGGCCTGCCTCCAGGGCTCAGGGACACGATGAGGAATCTGGGGCTTTGTCCTGAGGGCAAAAAGGAGCTATGGAAGGCTTAAATAGAGAGGGGCATGGACAGACTTAGACAGACCCCTCTGGCTTTGTGTAGAAGATGAGAGAATGGACACTGGGAGCCCAGGCAGAAAGCTGGAGCCACAGGGATAGGAAGGCAGGTAGACAGGACAGAAGGGAAGCAGAGAGAGGCACCTGGGATGTGGCTGAGGCCTATAGCCTGAGGACTAGGGGGCAGTGGGGCACTCTCCAAAATGGACACAGGGAGTGGGAGGTTGGGGGGAGTAAAGGGGAAACCAGATGGCCGGTTTGGGACATGGTGGGTAGGAGGGACTTAGGGGACACTCAGGCAGAAATGTGGAGGAAGCTCCTCAAGATGGGCTAACAGCTCAGGTAAGAAGCCAGGGCTGGAAACAGCCATGTCAGAGCCACCAGCACACAGGGAAAGCAACCAGTACAGGCTTTAAGCAGGACAGAGAGGGGACCAGGGCTAAATTCCAGAGACTGCAGGTAGGAGTGAGACTAGGCAAGAAGCTGGAGCAGGGAACTAGGTAGGAGAGAATGGTGGTCTGGGCTATGGAGTAGTGGTGGAGATGGAGGTGTCTTTGAAACGTTCTTTGGAGGCGGGACACCGAGGATTGGTGACCAATCAGGTCAGCAGGGAAGGAAGGAAGCAGGGGGCAGAGGGTTGGCAGCAAAACTGTGGTTCTGCAAAATCCAGGCGAGGGCTTTGGGCCTGCCAAAGCTTTCACTGGCCAGTGTCCAGCTGGAGGGCAACACTTCAGATACCACAGAGGAGACAGAGGATGTGAGGTTAACCCTGCAATCAGCTGAGAGGGAGGCCGTGGCTGCTTCTAGTTTAGAGGGACAGAGAAGCAGACTGTTAACAGAGCACAGAGGCACCTGACACCAGCCAGGACCCCAGGGCCAGGCTGACAGCAGCCAGAACCGCAGAAGCACCACTGCCTGGGGCCGGATGCTAGGAAATGCCTGGCTTCTCCCTGCTTCCCACTTTAACTCATGCAACTGACAGGTAGGTGGAGCAGGAGAAGGGTAGGAAGCAGGGCAAACAGGCCCTGGTCAAGCCCACAGCCCAAGAATACCCATTGTGCCCTCAGGGACTGCCAGTCATTCTCTAAGTATGCAAACTCTGGCCTACCCACCACAAAACGTACCTGCAACAGAGAAGTTGTTTAGTGGGGGCAGGGTCTGGTCAGGGGCCTCGGGACGCTCCTTATAGCCAATGAAGGAGCCATCACTCTTTAGCAGGAAGTACCGGGGCCTCCAGGTCTTGATGTATTCACCTGAACCAAAGCAGGGACAGGGAGAGAGGTTAGAGCAGACAGCCCAGTTAAACAGAGCCTTACAAGGGGCACCTGGGTGGGCAGGAGAGCACCTCTCCAAGAGAAATCCTTGAGGCAGCCCCTGTTGACGGAGGCTGGCGCCAGGCTGGGGCCAGTGATTCAGAGGTCAGGCCTGGCAGGAAGACGCCTGCTGCAGTGCCCCAGGGCACCAGCTGCCTCAGCTTGTGGCCAGCAGCAAGCCATCCTCGCCAGCACGTGGCCCAGTCCCAAGAGAGAGGCTCAGGCTCCCAAACACACATGCCCCGTGGCCCTGTAAGGCCAAATCCCATGGGCTGGTATTCACCAGTATAGCAGTGCAGGTGGATCAAATGTCAAAACACTGTGCCAGGCCGGGTATAAATGTTGCTGCGCCCTCCAAGTGTCCCTTGACCCCTTCTATTTGCTCTAATCATGAATATCCAAGTACCCTATGTACATATGTACACACACACACATTTACTAGGACACACTCCTTACAGGCCTGCTGAAGAAAATGAGATGGGCTACAAAATAGGTGAAGAGGTACAAATTTCCAGTTACAAAATAAATAAATGATGGGGATGTAAAGTATAGCACAGGAAACATAGTCAATAACATTTCAGAAACTTTGTAAGGTGACAGATGGTTAACTAGACTTATCATGGGGATCATACCATAATGCATATAAATATCAAATCACTGATGTACACCTAAAACTAATAGAATATTTTATGTCAATTATATGTCAATAAAACAAAAATTTTAAATAAAATGCTATTTAAGTTCTCAAAAAATAAAATAGATGATAAAACATAACTTACACATACGTGTCCCTAGCAACATTATTCATAACAGTAAAAAGTGAAAACAACCCAAAAGTCCATCAATTAATACATGGATAAACAAAACATAGCATATCCACACAATATAATACTATTCAATTATAAAAAGAAGTAAAGTATGGATACATGCTACAACATGGATGAACCGTAATTTATGGTAAATAAAAGAACCACAGATTAGATGATTCCATTTATATAAAATGTCCAGACTAGACAAATCTGTAGACATGAACAGCAGGGTGTAACACTGTCTCACAAGGGGCACCTGGGTAGGTGGAGGGTGGACAAGAGAGCAGGCAGGAGAATGGCAGTGAAATGTGTTAAAATTGATTGTGCTGATGATGGTAAAACTCAATACTAAAACCCCCTGAACTAAACACTTTAGATGGCTGAATTCTACTGTATGAAAATTATATCTCAAACTGTTAAAAAATATAGGATCACAACCATAAAGCAGCCAGATTATGGCCCAGCACACCGCAGGCACTCACTAAATGCTCTCTACTATCAGCTCACGGTGCGGAGACTGGGCCAAAGCCCTTACTCATCTGGCACATGTGAGATAGAATAGCAGGGTGGGCTCTGAGCTGTATTTGCTATATGGCCACTAGTAAAAGTCCCTTCACTTCTCTGAGTCTTTGTTTCCTCTTATGAGGCTATCCATTAATTGATATTGATGATGATGATGATTAGATAACACTATAGTGGCACTTTGTGTCACATAGTATCCTAAGTATCTTATAGATTTTAACTTACCAAATTCTTTCAAATGTAGGTACTAAATGATTCTGTGTACAGTAAGTTCAACAACTAGCAAAACCCCAAATTCAACAACAGATTAAAAGGATTATACACTATGACCAAGTGGGTTTAATCCCAGAAATGCAAGGGTAGTTCAATATATAAAAACCAATCAATGTAATACACATTACTATAATGAAGGGAAAAAGGCAAACAACCATTTCGATTGAGGCAAAAATAGCATTTGATAAAATCCAACACCCTTTCATGATAACAACACTTAGCAAACTAGGAATAGAAGGACATTTTTTCTACATGATAAAGAACGCTTATACAAACTCACAGCTGACATCATTACCAATGATGGACTGAAAGCTTTCCCTAAAGTCAGGAACAAGACAAAGACATCCAATACTGCGTTTAATAGCAGTGGTGAGAGTGGACATTTTAGTCAGGAAAAAAGATAAAAGGCATCCAATGTGAAAGAATAAATATAACTATCTTTATTTGCAGATAACATGATTCTATATAGAGGAAATCACAAAAAATCCACAAAATAATTACTAGAGCTAATAAACAAATTCAGCAAAAGAACAGGCTAACTAGTTGTGTTCCTTTACACCAGCAGTGAACAATCCAAAAAAGAAATTAAGAAAACAATTCTGCTTGCAATAGCATAAGGAGGTGGAAGATTTATACAATCAAAACTACAAAACATTGCCTGAAACAAATTAAAGCTAAAGACCTAAATAATACAAAGACATCCTGTGTTCACAGACTGGAAGACTTGATATATTTAAGACAACAATACTACCCAAAGCAATCTACAAATTCAGTAATATCCCCTATCAAATCTCCAACAGCTTGCTTTTTTTTTTTTGCAAAAATGGAAAAACCAATTCTTAAAGATACATGGAATTCAAATTTACATGGCAAGGAGTCCAAAACAGCCAAAACAACATTGAAAAAGAAGAACAAAGGAAAAGGACTCACATTTCCTGATTTTACTACAAAACTAAAATAACTGAATCAGTGTGGTTTAAGGACTGACATATAGAGCAAGAGAACAAAAGTGTCAAAACAAACAAACAAACCATGATCAACCAATTTTCAACAGGAGTGCCAGGACCATCCAATGGGGAAAGACTGGTCTCTTCAACAAATGGTGCTGGGACAACTGGATATCCACATGTGGGGGCAGGGTGGGAAGAGAGAGAGAGAAAAAAAAGAAAACAAAGTCGGACCCCTACCTCACACCATATACCACATATAAAAACTAACCCAAAAGGATCTACTTACATAAGAGAGCTAAAACTATAAAACTCTTAAGAGAATACACAGGGGTAAATCTTCTTGGGTTTGGCAATGGATTCTTAAGTATGACACTAAAAATATAAGCAACAAAGTAGACTCATTTTAATTAAAAACTTTTAGCCCTGGTCAGTGTAGTTCAGTTCGTTGGAGCATTGTCACAAACCAAAAGGTTGTTGGTTCGATCCCCAGTCAGGGCACATACCGAGGTTGAGGGTTTGATCCCCATTTGGGGCTTGTACAGGAAGAAACTGATCAATGTTTCTCTCCCTCTCTCTCTAAAAGCAATGAAAAATTGTCCTTGGGCGAGGATAACAAATAAATAACTTTTGTGCAAAGAACAGTATAAAAAAAAGAATAGCCCTGGCTGGTGTGGCTCAGTAGATTGAGCCCCCACCTGTGAACTGAAAGGCCATCAATTCAATTCCCAGTCAGGGCACATGCCTGGATTGTGGGCCAGGTCCCCAGCTGGGGGCATGAGAGAGGCAACCCATTGATGTATCTCTTGCACATTGGTATCTCTCTCCCTCTCTGTGTCACTCCCCCTCTCTCTAAAAGTAAGTAAATAAAATCTTTAAAAAAATAAAATAAAAATAAAAAGGCAACTAAAAAATGGGCAAAAATATTTGCAAATCATGTATCTGATAAGGATGCAGTAACCAGAATGTATAAAGAACTCTTACAATTCAATAACACAAACAGCCTGATTATAAAATGGGCAAAGAACTTGAATAGACAGTTCTCCAAAGAGATACAAAGGGGCAACAAGCACATGAAAAGAGGCTAACATCATTAGTCATTAGGGAAATGCAAATCAAAACCACGAGAAACCACTCCACACCCACTAGGGTAGCTGCAATTAAAAAAAGAAAAGAAAAAGAACACTGCTGGTAAGGATGTGGAGAAATTGAAACCTTTGTGTATTACTGGTGGAAATGTAAAATGGAGCAGCCCAATAGAAAAGTTTGGCACTTCCTCTAAAAGTTCAATATTGAATACACTGTAGATTATAAATATAGAATATATGACCCAGCCCCAGCCAGCATGGCTTAGTGAGAAGAGCATTATCCCACAAAGCAAGAGGTCGCTGGTTCAATTTCCAGTCAGGGCACATGCCTGGGTTGTGGGCCCAGTTGGGCGTGTGTGGGAAGTGACCGATCAATGTTTCTCTCCCTCTCTTTTTCTCTACCTTTGTTCTCTCTCTAAATAAATGCATAAGATCTTAAAAAGAAAAGAAAAGAATATATCCAATAAGACCCAATTTATATAACCTATATATCTATGGATTAAAAATATAGAACATATGACCCAGCAATTCTACTTCTAGGCATGTACTCAAAAGAACTGAAAACAAGTACTCAAATACTTATACACAAATGTTGATTGCAGCACTATTCACAATAGCCAAAAGGTAGAAATAACCCAAATGTTCATCAACAGACATATAAACAAACAAAATGTGGTATAGTCACACAATGGAATATTACTTGGATATAAAAAGGAATGAAGTACTGATTCATGCTATAACATGGATGAACCTAAAAAAATTATGCTAAGTGAAAGAAGCCAGACACAAAAGGCACATATTGTATGATTCATTAATATGAAATGTCCAGAGTAAGTAAATCCATAAAGATAGACAACAAACAAGTGGCTGCCAGGGGTAAAAGGAGGGGGAATGGGGACCGACTGCTTAATGAGTACAGGGTTTTCTTTCAGGGTGATGAAAATGTTTGCAACCAGACAGAGGGAGTGGTTTCACAACACTGAATGTACTAAAGGCCACTGAATTGTACACTTTAAAATGGTTAATTTTGTGTTAGATAAATTTCACCTCAATTTCAAAAAGCAAAACAAAAACTAGAAAAACTCACCTATGCTACTAGAAGTTAGGAGAGTTACTGCTTGGGGTGGACGGGGGGCTTCTGAGGACTATCTTGTTCTACTTCTTGATCTGCACACTAGTTTTGGGGTGAGCTTGTAATCCAAGCACTTACCTGTGGTGTTTTATACATCAGTAACAAGCTAAGAAAACAAAACAAACCTAGAAGGAAAGGAAAAGCATCCTCACAACAATTCTACTTTCAGATGAGGAAACTGAGGCATAGAAGGTTCCATTACTTGCCCAAGGCGTGATCACAGTTTTTGACCAGGAGAGCTAAGATGGAACCCGGGTTTGGTCTGTCCACTCTTGACCGCTAGGCTGTCTGCCTCTAACCTGGCAGATGGGACCAGGCCTGGAGGGGCCTGGCAGGGGCTGTGCCAGAAAGGGGACCAGCACAGAGCATGAGCCACTCCAATAGTGGTGCTCTCACTTTGCCCATTCCTTGAAGGGACCTTGCCGAGTGAAAGGCAGCTTGTGGGCCAGGCCTTGGAAGCACTGCCACCTCTTTGCTGGAACGTCCAGCAAGTCAGTCTTCCTGCTGAGCCTCAGCATCCTGGTCTGTAAGATGCCTGCCTCATAGGGTGGCTATGAAAATGCAACAAAAGCCCTGGTCAGGTCGCTCGGCTGGTTGGTGCATCATCCCATACACAAGAAGGTTGCAGGTGTGACCCCCAGTCAGGGCACATGCCTAGGTTGCAGGTTCGATCCCTGGTTGGGGAGCATATGGGAGACAAGTGATCAATGTTTCTCTCTCACATTGATGTTCTCTCCCGCTCCTCCTCTTCCCTCCTTTACTCCCTTCCTCTCTCTCTCAAGTCAGTAAACATATCCTTGGGTGAAGATTTTTTAAGAAAAAGAATAAAGTACATCAAAAATCGGGCTTGCCTACAGCATAGTCCACGCCTGGCACAGAGTAGGCACAAAGTAAACTGGGACTATTACTACTGTAACCACCAGGAGTTAGTGGGGTAGGATGACACAGGTGCCAAAACAGCTGCAATCGGCAGGGGCCACCTTGCCTCACCCACCTCTGCCAGCTGCTGCTCAGAGACATGGGCCCTGGGAGGCCCAGGAGTGACTCAACACGTGTGTATATGGTGCAAACACAGGCAGGTGCATCCCAGCTAGGCCATCTCAACAGCTCATCTGGCCCACTGGTAGCACAAATGAAGACACTGAAGGCCTGAGAGGGGCTGAGACCCATTTACTGCTATCAGCAGCCCTGGACCAGAGACAAACCCCAACCCTCACCACAGTTCTCCAGCTACCTCCAGTGGTCCCACACCCCAGCCCAAAGAGCCACACGGGCCTTGGGAAACTCAGGAGCCCAAGATCCTGGCCTACCAACCACACTCACACCACCTCCACACACAATCCCAACCGGTCACCCAGTAATCAGTTACTGAGCGCCTACTGCGTGCCAAAGCACTTTCCTAGGGACCAGGGCTACCGCAGCCAACAAGCCGGATCAAATCCCTGCCCTCAAGGAGCTCCCAACAGAGGCCAGGTTGTTAACCCATTTTACAAATGTGAAACCAAGGCTCAGAGAGGTGACAGCTTGCTCAGAGTCATACCAAGAGGAAGTAGCAGAGCCAGGATTAGAACCTTGACATCTGCCAAGGTTCAGGATGCTCCACCCATAGCCCCAAACACAGGACCCAGTCTGGGGGGCAGATCGACATGCCTGGAATGACACCCTCTCCTTTAAGGGCAACAGGAACAGGTCTCACTGCTCATTCTGATGGGGAAGCTGGACCTGGGGAACTGCCTCTGTCCCTCATTGCTGCTCTGTGCCTGTGGGCTGGGAGAGAACAGGATGGGTGGGCACTTCTCCCTGTTGCCGAAGGACCAGCCCCATGAGCATCCCTGCCCTCTTCAAACATGCCTATTCACTCCCCTCTCGGGACTCACACGCTGTCCCCTTCGCCCTCATGCTTTTGCCCCAGTTAGCCATGGGGCTCACTACCTTGCCTCCTTCAGATCTTTATTCATATGGCCTCCTCTCAGCGAGGCCCTCCCTGACCACTGTGTTTATGACAGCTCCCCTGCCAACCTCGCAGCCCCTACTTCTCATGTTGCTTGGTTTTTCTCCACAGCACTTACCACCACTGGACACACATGCCTATTCCGGTGCCACCTGCTCTCCTCATTAACATGAAGACAGGAATTTTGCCTGTTAGGTTCACTGCTATATCCCCAGTGCCTAGATCAGTGCCTGGATCACGGCGGATGCTCAATAAATGTTTGCTGAGCTCTTGCCGGGTAGCTCAGTTGGTTAGAGCATTGTTCTGATACACCAAGGTTGCAGGTTTGATCTCCAGTCAGGGCACATGCAAGAGTCATCCAATGAATGCATAAATGGGTGGAAAAACAAATCAATATCTCTCTTTCCCCTCGCCCTCTAAAAATCAATGTTAAAAAAAAAAAAAAAGAATCCATTCTAAAATAAATGTTTGCTGAATGAATGAAAGTACACAAAGAGCAACTATCAGCAGGCCTGACACCTCCCTCCCTGAAGGAAGGTCCACAGAAGCCAGGACAGTCTGCCTCCTCCTACTCAGCCTGATCAAGCCAACTCGCCACACGTGCTTCTTCCCAGCTGCACCTAGCAGCACAGCTGGTTAAGTGCCGCAGCCCAGGGTCTAGGGATCTAGCCTCTTAAGTCTCTTTCATATAAATGACTTCACTTCTCTGGCTTAGCTGCCCACCAGCATAATCAGATCAGGTCACACACCATGGCTCGCAACCTCTTGGGCTTCCGATCACCTGGAGAGCTCCAGCCAAGGCCTTTTCCATCACTGCTCCGTTCTGTTACCTGCTCCCGCTGACCCTCACTCCCTCTGTTCCAGCCACTGTCCCACCTTTGTCCTTTCTGTTATCCTTAACCAGCTATGTGTATGGCTCCCTCCCTTGCCTGCTCCGGGCCTCTGTTCACTGTCATCTCCTCAGAGCCATTTCCCCTGACCACCCCTTCTCTCCCCAACCCCTTCGTCCTCATAGTTCTGATTTTTCACAACAGACTTATCACCACCTACCATCACGTCTGCTTATTTATTGTGTGTCCCCACTTCCGAATGGAACATGTACTTCATGAGGACATCACACTGTCCCCACTGCCTGGGACACCCTGGCATACTACACACACTCAATGAGTATTTGCTGAATGAGTGCTGAATATCACCTCAGGGTGTTACTTCAATTAAATGACTTCCCTTCTCTGCACCTTAATTTCTTTACCTATAAAATGGCGCTATGAATGAAATCACTAATGCAGAAGCAGAAGTGGAGGCCTGATCTGCAGGCTCATGCAGGTTGTCCTGGTAGGCCTGGAGACTCGGCCCCAGGCGGAGCCACAGCTCCCCTGCCCAGACCACTGCTGAAGGAGTCAATGAAATGGGCTCATAAGGAGCTACTGGCTTGGAGCAGGCAGATGCAGCTGGGATGCTGGCTCTGGGGGACTGTGAAGACCACAACATCAGCTGCCAGGAGGAAGGGTGTGTGTTTCGGGGTGGGAGGGTGCAATCCTGCGGGCCTAAGTGGCATGAGTAGTCCCTTACCACGCTTGTGAAGCCAGCCTTCTTTGATGACAGACACCTCGTTCATGGTAGCAGCGTCACACGCTGTCACCTAGCTCGGGACAGCTCAGGGCAGCAGGACATGCAGGAGGCAAGGTGAACAGAACACAATCTGCAAGACAAGAGGGGAGCTCATCAGAGTTGGAGGGGGATTTAGCCCCAGCCCCTTCCCTCAGGACAGCCAAGCTCTGAGGTTCCTCTGGCTGCTCGGTTTGCTCTGTACACGGTGGAGCCAGTGAAGAGTGGGAGAGCCCTGCTCCGAGGGCCCAGTGTGGGTGGGAGACGCAGCTATGTTCCCAGGGACCCCAATGTCGGAGGGGGATGGGAGGAAGAATACAACTCTGCCCTCAGAGTCCTTCTCTACAGGGGGCAGAGCTCCCAGCCTACATGCAGGTCAGACCCTGTGCTCAACACCCATGGTAAACAGAGGCAGCCCACCCACTCACCCTCATCCCAGGCTGGGAAGGTGGCAAGGAAGCTATGGCCCCACCTCCAGCGTCACTCCCATGCCTCAACACTGAGGTAACCCGGGATGAATCAGGCAGCCCTGGGCACCTGAGGGAGTGCTCAAAGCCACCGGCATCTGCCTGCCACCCGCCCCCCTCTCCACACACACACACACTCTCACTCACTCTCTCCTTTCCAAATCAGGGAGCCAACAACCTTCCATCTTTAGCAAACCATTCCCCTGCAACAGGCCACCCTGTGTCACTCCCTCAGGCTCAGGTCCTTCCTTGCCCCCACCAAATGACCAAGAAAAGCAGGTCTCGGGCGCTCCAGCTCTTGACCAGGAAAGCAACCTACGGTGGAGACACACACTTGTCGGGGGTCCAGGAGCCAGTTCTGGGGTCTCAATCAAGGCCCTGGTCCCTTCCCCGAGACCTCTGCTTCTGTCCTCAGGGACCAGCAGCTGATAGACTGGCAGACGCCGAGGCTGCTGCTCCTGTCTCAGGTTCCAGGGCGGGCGGAGGGGAAAAGGGCGGGAGCCAGCCACCAGCTGGGCCCCTACCTGGAGCCTGGACAGGAGCCACAGAGCCCAAGGCGCCTTTCGCCTTTCCTGGCCTGAGGTTATTTGCGGACAGCAGGTCAGGAGCTACTGTGGCTCCCAGAGAAGTGGCAGCTGGCTGTAGGGACACCCTGGGCATCAGCTTTCTCCCGTGCCCCAGGGGAGCTGGTGGGCTGGACACACTACTGCCTGGCATGTGACTGTGGCAGGCTGTCAGCCAGGCACAGAGAAGGAGGTAAGTGGGAGGAAGCGGGGAAAAGACAAGACAAACAGTGATGGAGAAGTAAACAGCGAGATGAGAAATCACGTTCTGAACTCTAAGCCGCAACGGCAGGGTCAGAAGCAGCAATGGGGCTTCCCTCCCCACCAGGCAGGACAGGCACCGCAAAGGACTCACATTCCATGACCCCAACAGCCAGGACTGCCAGATATTCAATCCTAAATAGCCCACCAGTCTGTGCTGCAATCGCTAATATGGCCAGTCTCTCCAGAGATGCAGCCCTTCCTAAGTCTGGCTGAGGTCCAGGGCTGTCTTCTCCTTGGAGAGTCCTGACCCATGTCCTCCCTGGACTCCACCCCTCCAATCTATCCTCCATTCAGCAGCTATGGGGAACCTCTAACCTAACCTTGTCTTTCCCCGACTCAAAACCCTTCCGTGACTTCCCACTGGCCTCGGAGAAGAGACAAGCTCCAAGGCTTGGGATTCAAGGCCTCTCAGGACCTGGCCTCTGCTGTCCTGTGCTCCACTGCTTCCCACCCCTGCTGGCCAGGACGGTCCCCACAGCCCAGCCATCCAGCTTCCTGACTGTCTCTCCCACATAACCCCACCTCCTCTTACCTCCCCTCCACTCCCCCGTACCACAGCCTCCTCCCTGGGCTCCCAGTCTCTGCACTCAACCCCTGTACTCCAGCTAAATCCAGCCCTCTCCCTCCCTGTGAGCCAAAAAGCACTTAGAACACCCTCAGTAAAGGCTAATGACCATGACAATGATTACACCTGGTACTACTCCCTCCAATCCCTCTTCCCCCCACCCCCTCTCTGCCCACTTCTGTTACTGAGGCCTTTACTTTCTTGAGTTCTCCCTCCCCCTTGAGGTCTCAACCAATTCCTCCTCCAGAGAGCTTTCCTGACCTCAAAGGCTTCACTGGGTGCTCTCTGTGCACTTCCTCAGTCAATTCTCACCACACCTATAAATGCTGGCGCAGTGGACCAGCACACTTGGGTATCTGTTGAGTACACAATGAATGAACCCAAGTCTCCCCAGCAAACCCCCAAGACAGGACCAGACGCAGCACAGAAACACTCCCAAAGTCCAGCCATGCCACCAAATTGTGTGTGTGTGTGTGTGTGTGTGTGCGCGTGCGCATGTGCGCGTATGCGCGCGCGCACATGTGTACGTCCGTTCCCTAAGCTCCAGACACTATCCTGGGTGCCAGAGACACAGCATCACAAAGGCACAGCGTCTGCCTTCATGAAGCTCACATTCCAATGAGAGAGGTAGACAAGGTACCAATACACACACAACACTGTCAGATGGTGAAGAGGCACTGAGTAGAAAAATAAAGCAGGGGAAGAGGATGGCAGGGAAGGGAGCTATGTTATCCACATGCTGTGGGAGGCTGTGAGCAGGATGTGAGTCCTGACATGTAAGGGAAAAGAATCTCAGGTAGGGGAATAGCAAGTACAAAACCCCTCAGACAGGAAGGAGCTTGGTAAGCATGGGAAACTGCCAAGTGGGCCATGTGGCTACAGGGTCAGGAGCCTGGAGAGGTGAGTGGCAGACCATTTAGGGCCTGGAAGCTGTGGTGAGGACTTAGGGAATTCCTCCTCCACACAGGGGCCGACACTGCACCTTCCCAGGTATGAGTTCGGTTCGGAATAGTTCCCGAAGGGCTGGGATGGACCCGGAGTCCAAAGGCAGGGTGGACTGGACAGGAAAGGATGGGGCCTGGTCCTCTGTCAGCTCTCCTCTCCCCTCCCCTCCCAGCCCAGTGACTTCACCTCGAGGAGCCTCTGTGATTCAGAGGTATTAAAGCACCCGCTACGTGCAGAGGTTCAGCCTGCAGCCTGGCCCCCCAAAACATCCAAACACATGGCTGCCATGATCTGAAATAGAGAAGTGAAGGCAGGCAGGTGTGACCGAGAGTGGCCAGGGTTGCAGGGCCCAGGAGCCACTGCCAGCTGAGTGGCCCTGAGCAGGGTGCCAGCGTTCCCATGGAGTCTCTCTTAAATGCTCCGCCCCACCCCACCAGAGGGGCAGTGACCACACCTCGGGTAGGGCAGAGGCACGGAGAGGGAAAGACAGTTACCTTGGGTCCCCCAGCTAAGCAGTGGTGGAGGCGCTGGCCGCTGCACACCAGAGTCTCTTTTTACATTCTCATTTCAGCGACTAAGAAGCCAGTAGTAACTTGGGCAAGGGCAGGGGGAGGAAATGGAAGATCCCCTGTGTCCTGGCTGGATCCTGCCCTGTCCTCCCACTGAGGGTGGTGCCTCAGCTGAGGTGCTTGTGACGCAGTCCTGCGGTGATGAAACACCAGGCACCTCAGCCAAGAGGATGGCCTGCTCCCTGGGGAGCTGCCAACGGAGGACGCCTAGGCAAGAGGACAGAGACAGAGCCTCTGGAGGTCAGGTGTCCGTGCAAAGGGACCTTCCCTGGCTGATGCCAGAGAGCAGCACGCCCCATAGCGGGGAGCACCTGCACGGCCCCACCCCCACTCCCCCACGCACTGCTGCTCCCTAGGGTGTCCACACCTGAGTCTGCTGAGGGCCTGGGCTGGAGCTGCCGCTATCGGCTAGAGATGAGCCCCCTGGGAAGCAAGGTAAAAGAACAAGGGCACCTCAGCAAGTTGTCCTGTGGGAGAGAACATCCAAGGAACATACAGAATCTCATTCATTATAGGGAAATGCAAATTAAAACCACTCACCAGAATGGCTAAAATTTTTTAAACTGACAATGTCAAGTGTTGACAAGGATGTAAAGGAATCACTACTAGTTAGAATATCAAACAGTCAACCACTATGGAAAACTGTTTGGCAGTAAGAATCAAAACTTAGTATGTGTCTATGCCATGACCCAACAATTCTGCCACCCCAACAGAAATGAGTGTATGTGTTTACCAAAGGATATGTATATACTAGAATGTTCACAGCAGCATATAGTAACCCCCAAACTGGAAAAAGACCATGTGTCCACCCACAGAAGAATGGATAAATTAACTGAAGTAAATTCATATGGCACAACATTATATGCAATAAAAAGGACTGAACTACTGACAAATACAACAGGGATGAAGTGTAAGAATGTGACATGAAATGACAGAAACCAGACACAAAATAACACTCCAAGTAAGAGTCCATTCATAGCAAGTTCAGAACAGGCCACGTGACGTTATTTGTTTAAGGATGCCTTTCTTGCTTGTAAACTGGGCCGAAATCAAGACAACAAATATCCCAAAGTCAGTAGCATGGTTAGATTTCGGAATAACGGGGTGGGGGCAGGGGGCGATATTTCTGGGAGCTGACGATGTTCTGTAGTCATTACACCAGGCTTTGCTTTACAATTATTTGTTGTACCTTACTGTATAACATAAATTTAACATTTTTTTCTGTATTTTATGACAAAGAAGTAACTATATAAAAGAACTAGAGATTAAAAGGAGAGCTGAAATTGCTCCTCCTGGATTCCAGGGCTCCCCTGATCTCAAGGCTGGCCTTCCTGGATCTTCCCCTCAAAAAAGCTGGATCACCAATGAATGAGGAGGAGGAATCCAAGGTCCAAAGGGTCCAAATTTCCACCCCAGTCTCTGCTGCTTTTTGGCTGTGTGGCCTTAGGCAAGTGACACCCTCTTTTCCCTGCAGTGGTCCCATCTGTACAAGGATCCCTCTGGAGGAAGGACACACACTAGGAGGAGCATGGCAGCCCAGAAAGCAGGAGGCTGGAGTTTTAGCGGATACATTTAACTCTGCACAGAAGAAGGCTGAATGGGGATGAAATTCACCATACTCAACGATCGGCTCCAAGCGGGCAGGAGGAGGCAACTGGACAGGAGTCCCTAACTGGGTTCTGATCATACTGACAATGTTGTTTTGTTTTTTTTTTTATCCT